GAAAGGATTAATTACAGGAAGGTCAGGCTGAGAGCGGCTTGAGTTGAAGAGGTGCTGTTGTGGATGTGGGGCTGTGAGCCCAGGAGCTGCCTCCTGGCAAACCGTGCAAGAAGGTGGTATCCTGTATAGAAAATGTGAAAAAGGAAAAGCCCCAATTATCTTACCACTTTAAAAAGCATTTGCATCATTTTGGTGCATTTCTGTTTTTCTATGAATCTGTTTTTCTAGTGTCTTTATTGGATTCTTTAAATTGTAAGAGTAATACATGCAAGTTGTAGAAAATAAAACCTTCCTGTCTCCCAACCCAATCTCTCAGAGGTCTATAAATGGAACCACTGAGTCTTAAAAGCTAATAGTCTGTTGTATCTAAAAATATTTTCAGAGTATAGGTGCATTTTAATGACTTATAAGTATACAAACTATTGCCATTTCTTTGATCTCCTTGGATTAATAACAACTTTTATTTAGGCTTTAGTTTAGTTCCATATGAAACTTTAAAGGAAAAAGCCTTTTAAGATCATTTAAATGGATGAAGATGAAGGCTAATCAGGACATGAAAAGGAGCTGAACATCAGTAGTCATTATGAAATACAAATTAAAAGCCAAAATGAGATACATGCCACAGTTACAAGGAAGGACTATAAGAACAATTTTTTAATAAGACAGAAAACAGCAAGTGTTGATAAGGATGTGGCGAATGAGACCCTTCATATAGTGCTGTAGGGATATGAAATAGGACAGTTATTTTGGAAAACAACTGGGCATTTTCTTCAAAAGTTAGGCATAATTCAATCCACACCCTCAGTAGTAGTTAGGTAAATCAATAGGCATCTACCTAACAAATATCCAGAGAGACGTGTATGCTAACATTTACAATATTATTCCTAATAACCCCAGTGGGAAAAAAAACCAATAGCTTTCAGCTGTTGAATGAACACAACGGAATACTATTCAGCAGTGAAAAGGAGTGAATTCTTGATACAAGCCTGGATGAACCTTAAAAGTCTAAGTGAAGGAGATAGGGCCACAGACTACAGACTGTCTGACTCCATTTACATGAAAGGTCTCCAAGGGCAAATTTAGAAAGACAGAAATGGGTCCTGGTTGCCTTGGTGCTGGATGTGTATATGGCGATAGACTGCCTAGAAATGGATGGAAGATTTTGAGGTGATTGAAATGTTCTAAAATAGGATTATGGTGATGGCTGCATGATTTTATAAATTTACCAGGATACACTGAATTGTACACAGACCTAAAGAAGGAGACAAAGGAGAGCCTTCTTTGAACCATTCTAGGACCCGTATTTTAAGATCAGTGAAATACGAAACTTAAGACTACAAAATATTGGTGCAACAAAAGAAACTGTAAAGTCTGTTGGTTTTCCAAATTATGATCAGATTTGTCCTTACTGTAAAATCATTCTGACTATGCCCATGTCAAAGGACCAGTTTAAAATGATCATATATTTGCAAGGCACATAATCAAAGGCAATGGAATTTCCATTCCAGTTAAACAAACAAAAGGAAGTGCAGGGGAGGAGAAGGACCTTCTGTCTGGTTTCTGTGTTCACGTGCTGCTACCTAGCGATCGTTTATAGAATGGCAGTTCTTGCTTTCATGCATTATTGTTTTTATCCTAGATTTGTTGGTCGTATCTGCATACCACAAATATCTGAATATTTTGCCGTGTGTAGGTTACATGTGTACATGTGTGAATGAACCGCTGTGGTACTTATGCTTCATAAAAATGGACTGGGAGATTTTTTAAAAAGATTTATTTAGTTATGCATACAGAACTGGGGTACAGGAGCAGGGAGAGGAGTCACCAGAGACAGAGCAGGGAGCAGACAAGGTAGATTGACAAAGTCCACTGGGGGAGACAGGAGAGGTCTGCCACACCATGTGGGTCACCTCCCTGGCCAGGGATCAAGCTCATGCTGAAGCGGCTGCAGCCAACTTTGCAGTGCTGCGCCTTAATCCATTGCACCACCAGGGAGGGCCCTGGAATGGGTGTGTTGGTGCCTGTTTTGTGAATTTGAGCGAGGACATGGTTAATGTATGGGCACCTATTGGTTCCAAACTCAAGGAAAGGATCTGTAAGACTGGGACCTAGCTTTGGGCCAAGCTTGGTAGCTATTCAAAACTTTGGTACCACACTTTTTTAAATGGGGATAAAAGAATACCCACTGCCAAAGTAATCATGAGAATTAAGTGTAAGAATGCTTGTAAAAAGCACTTGTCTCAGACAGAACTCAAAACAAGTGGGCAAAATCCTTTCTCTTCCATTTAAAATGATTTACTACTCCCCGCCCCTCCTCAAGCAATGAGCAAAAATCCAGAAGACTATTAACTTCAGATAAATGAATATATTTCTTACAATTTTTGGTTGATTGGAAATATAAATTTGGACAACTTAATTTTTTAAATAATGCATAAAGAGAAAGGTTGCATAGAAGCTGGAGTTTTACAAATTAGAGTTGCTGGTTATTTTAAAACTGTCGCTAACAGCAGGGATATCAAGAGTGGTGTTCCAGTTTATCTTCTCAGTATTGTATCTTAGAGCTGTCGAGCAAGTCGACCAGGTCAGCCAACACCACACTGACCAGAGAAGATATAATTCTGTCATTTCCCCTAGAATTAAAATTGGTGTTTACACCACTCTAGATTTTATTCTACAAGTTAGAGAACCAGTGTACTTAAGGATTAATGCCATTATCAATACAAATAAAGAATTTCTATTATTTACTCCTTCACCATTAATTTTCTTAGCCTGTCGAACTACCTAGATGATCAATCTTAGCTTTTCTTTTCCATGCAGACATTCTGGCTGTGCTGCTACATTTGCTGTTTTGTACAGTGTTGTGCATTATGGGTTTGTTACTGGTTGTCAGTAGCTTTCTTGAGGGTTAATTTAAGTACCATAAATTCACCTATCTAAAGTGTATAGTTCTGAGTTGTAGTAAACTTGTAGTGGTGCACAGTCATTATTACCATCTAGTTTTAAAGCAATGCTGTCAAACCCATAGCGATTGACCAGCCCCATACTGAATGGCCTTATTGCATTGTTCTATTTTGCAGAATACTGCATTATTCTGATTTTTGTCTTGTTTCAGGGATACTAGGACCAAATCTAGGCATTAATTTTAATAAATTCAGCTTTATTAAGAAAAATTAATGTATTAAATATATTTAAAAAATTAATATACATACACTAGTATGTGTACAAATTGAAGTATGTACCATTGATATTCTGGCATCCTTTAGTTCAAACTCCTATAAATATCAGGTGGGACAAACTATCCATAGCCTAAACATTTCATCTTGTACATACCAAGTTTATGATCTGTTCCTCTTTCTGTGATCTGGCTGTGAAAGATTTTCATGGTATTGGGCCAGGGCTACTGGTTTGGGTACTTGCAAAGAAAGAACTTCCTTAATGGGAAACTTAGGAGATTCTGATTTTGTCTTATTTGTTACTCAAGATTTGCTGTTCCTCTTTTGTAAGTGTAGTATTTATGGCCTACTGGATACAGCAGCTATTAAATATATCCATAAAAACCATTCAATGCAAGCATTACAATCTGGTACTAATGAAAATACTTCCACTTACTATTTTTTGCTAATTGTATCTCTGTGGTGTTTCAGAGGGGTAATTATGTACACACTAACTCTGTTTGTAAATCTTTAGCTCTACAGTTTACTGTGATCTCCACTCATGTTACCTTTAAGTGCTAAGTGTTTGATGTGCGCTAGCTGAGTTTCCTCCAAATAGGAAGTTCCTTATGGTTAGAATAGTTGTTTTGTGTTTGTGTGTAATAAATGTTCTCAAGCAGTGGGCACAAAAAAAGCTACTAAGTAATTTTTAAATAAACATTTCAGATTTGTCTCCTTTCCTCCAGATCGCCACGCCACTGACATTTACCACAAAGCTCCAATTTCCTAACCATTATAGATGTTCTGCCCTAATGCCCCAATAAGCGTGGGTACACAGGCCATCGCATCTCTCGGACATCTGCTCCTCAACAGCTAGCTGTGATAGGAAGTCATTTCTATTTCATTTCTACTTCTTCCCGGTTATTAACTAGTAGATTTGCTGATGATTTCGTGAAAGTCTGACTATACAAAACAAAGCCCTCCTTCCCTATTTATCTCTTTCCCCCACGTGGTATCCACTTCATAGCTCAGGATGCGAGAGCCCAGGGAAACTTCTGTGCAAAGGGGGTGGCCGAGAGATGCCCTGGGCGCCTGTCCATAGGTCACCCGCTCACTGGCGACCTTGGGTGGGTGACTCAAACGCCAGCTGTAAGTGTGCAGCGGTCCGCAGCCTCTGCCATCGGGAGTTCCCTCCGTGCCCGGAGTCTCGCTGGCGTTCCTGCTCCTGCTGACCTCCAACGCGGGGGTGGACTGGGCGCGCGCCCGAGCTCAGAGCCCCAGCCCACGTGTCCAGAACCCGAGCCCAAACCTGGAGCCCGGAGCCCGGGCCCGAGCGCAGCGCCGGAGCGCGGAGCCCAGATGCGGAGCGGAGCGCAGCACCCTGGAGCCTGGAACCCGGGGGTGCAGCGGGGCGCCCGGAGGGGAGAAGACCGAGAGTCCAAGGGCGGCCCAGGCACAGCCCCCTTCCTTAGCGTGTCTCGCGCGATTCCCCCGGTTCTGCACCGCGGCACCTCCGCCTCCCCGGCCCCTAGCCCGGAGCAGCAAGCCCAAACTGCCCCCGATCCGGAAGCCCCGCCACTCAAAAGTCCTCCTCCCCGGAAGTCGGGCTGGTCCCCACGCCCCCTCGCCTTCTATTTGATTTCGGCGCGCGGCAATCTGAGGGTGGCTCTGATTGGCCGGAAGCGGGTGAGCTCCCTGTGCAATTGGCTGAGAGGACTAGCAAGGGAGTGAATTGCGGGAGGCGGGGTTACGCCTGCAGAAGGTGGATGGTGATTGGGTTCTGCGAGAGGAGGGCGGAGTCAAATGCGGAAGCAGTAGGCGGGGCGGGGCTTAGTGGAGGGGGCCAAGAGGAGCGTGATGGAAGGCGTTCGGTGTCCACAGCACGGTGAGGGCTGCTGCCGGGGGTCCCGGGGGTGCGTTCCTCTAGCGGGGCGTGATCTTGTCCACCTTTTCTCCTCAGGGACCTTGTGCTTCCTGAAGACGGGCGTCCGCAATGGTCCGAATAAAGGAAAAAGCTTCTATATCTGCCGGGCGGACTCTTGCGACTTCGTGAGGACCACCGAGTAGGTTTTTCGCGGGGCGCGGGCCTCGCGGGGAGCAGTGCCGGGGACTGGGGTGGGGGTGGGGGGCTCGGGGGCTGGGGACGCCCTGCCCACGGGGCCAGGGCTCTCCACGTGGCTGGTCACAGCTTGGGGTGTTGGGGACACTCCGGGCTCCCCTTGGCTGTGTGAGCCCAGGCGGCCACTTCCTTCTGCGCCGCTGATTCCTTCGCCTGAAAATGGAGGAGCAGTTACTTCTGGCACCACCGCTGGTCCTTCCCAGCGGTGAGTGTGTAGACCCCAGTCCGTCATGACCACACTCCCTTCTGCTGACAGGTGTGTCAGCCCTCGAGGGTGACTCTGCACTCCAGGAATTGGGGGCTTGGAGACCCCGTGAAGAGTAACTCGCACTCGTGTCTGGGCTGACAGCTTTTACATTGTTGGGGGTCATCTGCTGATCGAGGATCAGGCCCTCTTAAAAATCGGGTTTTAAATGTGAGATTGTGAACCCAAAGAAACAAATTCCTTTAGGGAGCTGCGCTGCAAGTAATGATACAATTTAACTTGCTGATTTCACAGCACTGACAGTCGAGGTCCAGAAATAATCATCTTTAGAGTGAGATAAGTTAACACCAATGCCCATAAAGTGGCGTCCACAGTCTCTTAAGTGAATTTTATAAACTATCACATCACTGAACACTTTCCCTGGGCTCTACTGAACTTGGTACAGAAAAGTTCTTTTCTTCCATGTTAATGTTAGATAGACACATACTGGATTAATACTAGAAAATAATGTCTTTTTTCCAAGAAAGACATTAGCTTTTCATGTTTCCTTTTGATGATTGCATTATGCTTTGACTAGGTGAAAGTTTTTTTAGATTTAGAAAATAAAATTTTAAAACAAATACTTCTTTAGCCTGCTGAGTTTGTCTGTTTGTTTGTTTGTTTTTTTAAGGAAATTAGTGGGATCCAGTTTAATTAGATGCAAAATGACTTGGAGTAAGCAGTGTGTGTTTGTTTTTTTTAAGGAAATTAATGGGATCCAGTTTAATTAGATGCAAAATGACTTTAAGTAAGCAGTGTCAACCTTAAGATGGAAGGGACCAATTAAACCCAAGCTATCAACATTTCATGCCAGGATTTGCTGTTTATTTCTTGGCCATGGACAGCCGTTGAGAAGTTCTCAGCTACTAACGAAGACCCAGTCTAAATGAATTTGCAGCAAGGGTGGGCTGAGGAGAGCCATCGAGAGCAGCTCTGCCTCCCGCTCTCCCAGCTCAAGCTTTTAGTGAAGATATGAATGACGAACAAAAATAGTGCACAGTTGTGTTTCTGCTTATACCAATTAATAACACGTTTTTCTAGCTAGTAGGGAGCATGTGAACAAGCTAAGCGCATCCTCAGAGAACAGGAGTTCTGGGGAGAAGTTCTGTTTGTAGAACTGCTAACCTCCTGGAGTTCCGTGTGCTCTCAGAAAACTCCAACTCCCTTTAGGGCGGCCGCTGCCAACTATTTCTGATTTCTTTGCTGAGCTTCTTGGGCTCAGTATTTGGCTCAAATTTCATTGAACATGAAAGCACTTTCAGATGTATAGGAATTAAGCATTAATGGCAGCGTAAGACTTGGTTTTACATTAAGGAAACATGTCCTTTTATAGAGTACAAGGGTACGGCTATGCAAATGATGCAGTAATATTTTGACTTGATAAACTCGATAAACTTATATAGACTATGCTTGATAACATATAAGCAAAAAAGCAAAATAATAGGTAAAAAAGAAAGAAAAAAGTGCCTTAGTTTCTAGTGGAACCTTCCCTCAGTCCTATTCATCCTGAATGTTACATGTAAATACCTTAATAATGAGAAGTGAGAAGGGTTAAAAACCTACCGGCCATAAAGTAGCTATGTAAATAATACTGACAGCCAACAGGTTATTGAAGGAAAATGGACAATCGAGGAACCTGGGGAAAATTCCCAGGCAGCCTTAGACGGTCTTCCCTGGGGCTGTGACAATTTACTGCTCATGTAGCACAGGATAGTTTTAAACTTTGAGTCCTTGGGAAAAAAATACATGGATTGTCTTGTTTGATTTGGGAGTGGGGAAGATGGGGCTGGACTCTCCCGGGAACACACATCGGCATAACAGTTTGGGATTTACACAGCCGGTGGAGGTGATGTCGGACTAACTCACAGTTAAAACCTGCAGTTTGGATTTTACAAGATTTCGGCTTCTGCCTCCTCAAACATGTTCATTTTTTTCCCTCTAGCATTCCTGTTTCTCACTGTTTACTGCACGAGGACTCTGTGGTGGAGCTCCAGGGTGTGCTCGCTCTGCAGGGCGAGAAGGAACATCGGTAAGCCTCCCGAAGGGACAGTCAGCGTGCTGTTGGTTTGGGCCCAGAAAGGTTTCACGCAGGAATATTTTCCTAGATTTGTGTGTTCCTTAAAGCCATAATTAAAGTCAAGCAGTGTTTCTGTTGAGGATCTTCTGGCCTACACTGTCTGCCAGTCTGTCACTCCTTAACTGGCGAGCAACGAGATTGTCTCGGAAGCTGGACCTCCAGTTCATGTCAGGGTAAACCACACCTTCGTCCCTGTCAAGTCCTCAGGGAGCCAGTCACGTCAGGCCACAACGGTGATTCATGTCTACTAACGTGTCAATTTTTCATTCCCTTTATGGAACAAGGTGATGTGTAAAGGCGCCTGACATGTTAAGTACTCCATAAATGTCGGCTTCCCTTCCTTTATGGGGACTCAGGAAGGGCAGGGAGGTGTTACAGATGGATGAGTAGATCCCACTTGGGATCAGAAAGGGGTTGTGTTTAATCACAGGTAGTAATCCAGGCAGGTTAATAGTGCCCTGCGTAAGGATGCAAAGGTTTGCCAGGGGATTGTAGGTGTTGGGCCTGGCACTAGTTCAGAATGTATTGAAGTAGAATATGACTTGGGAGGAGAAGACTGGCCAGCAAAGCAGGTGCCAGGGTGACGGCCTTTGTATGATATCTGTGCAAGTCAAAATTGAGTGATTTGGGATAGCGTTTCTCTATGTGGGAAATCAAATCCGATCTGCAAAGTTTCAAATACCTGAATACTACCAGTACTGTTTTTTTTTTTTTTTTAAGATAGAAAAATGTATTGGGAGGAAACATTACATAAAATTTTACAATTAGGCCCTCCCTGGTGGCGCAGCGGGTTAAAAGCACAGCACTGAGAATCTGAAGCCACTTCAGCATGAGTTCGATTCCCGCCTGCCTCCTGCCCCGGAGGAGACCACATGGTGAGCCAGACCTCTCCTGACCCGCCCGCTGCTTCCCTCAGCAGTGTACTTCGTCGATCTGCCTGTTCTGCTCCCCACTCTGTCTCTGGTGAAGCCTCTCACCGCCCCTGAGCCTCTGGCCTGTACCCCAGTTCTGTATGCACAAATAAATCTTTAAAAAAAAAAAAATTTACAATTAAAAAAAGTGACAGGCCTAGCCATGGAACGGACAGAGATGTCAGTGTCTGAGAAGACATTCACTAGGAAGCCAGGGCCTTTGACGCTGCTTCTGGAAAACTGATCTCCCGCTCACTGCCCTCACTGTATTATCTTGTCCCTCTTTTAAAATTCTCATTATTAAATATTACAGCGTAGAATTATATGCTTCATACAATAGTTTTATTTTTGCAATTTTATTTTTTACTGATGTGTACCTGGCATAGAACATTAGCCAATTTATAACTCAATATTTGTATGTGCAAAGTGACCCTAGTAAATCTAGTTAACATCTGTCACTATACATTGTTAGAAATTTTTTTTCTTGTGATAAGGACTTTATACATTGTGACGTTAAGTATCACTGCTATTATTGTTTTAGGTAATGCACTAATAATTTACCTATTCATTAGTACCAATAAATTATTTCTAAATCACCGTTAGTATTTATAATAATATTCAGTAATAAGTGTGAGCGCTGTTACTGTTACTAACTTGTGGTCTGTGCTCACATCCTCATTACTCAGTTACAGGGGGAAGTTTACAGTTTTTGACACCCTTCTCTCATTTTACCAGCTCCCGCTCTCCCGCATACTGCCTGTGGCAATCATCATCTGTTCTATGAGCTTGATTTTTAAAAAAATATTCATTTATTTATGCATACAGAACTGGGGTACAGGCCCGAGGTTGGGGGGGGGGTTTAAAATGATTCACCAGAGACAGTGGGAAGCAGAACTGGCCAACTGACGAAGTCCACTGCTGAGGGGAGCAGCGGCGGGTCAGGAGACGTCTGCTGCGCCCTGTGGGTCAGTTCTCTGGTAGGGAATGGAACTCCTGCAGTGGCTGTGGAGTGCTGTTTTAATCAATTGCGCCACCAGGGAGGGCTTGATTTTTTTTTTATTCCCTATGTAAGTGTGATCATAAGATACTCGTATTTCTCTGATTTATTTCGTGTGGCATAATGCCTTCAGAGTCCACCCATATTATATCAAATGGCTAGATTTCTTTTTTATAGTTGCAAAATAATTGCAATGTATGTGTGCAGTATACAGCCTTTTTTATACATTACCCCCTTGGTGGACATTTAGGTTATTTGCATATCTTGGCTATTATGGAAAATGTAAATAATGTTTCAGTGAACGCGTGCACATAGCTTTTCAAGTTAGTGTTTTCATTTTCTTCAGATAAATACCTGAATTTGTTGGGGGTTCGGTTGTTTTTTTTTTTTTTTTTAACAATTTATTTTCATTTATCTATACATACAAGAGCTGGGATGTAGGCCAGAGAGGTGGGGCACAGGGAGTGAAGAGATACACCAGAGTGGGGAGCAGAACAGACAGATCTACTGAAACCCACTGCTGAGGGGAGCAGCAGGGAGACAGGAGAGGGCTGCTGCGCCCTGTGGGTCACCTCCCTGGTCGGGAGTCAAACTCAGGCCACAGTGGCTGGAGATAGCTGTGTAGTGCTGGAACTTTAACTAACCCCTGTGCCACCAGGGAGGCCCGGTGTCTCCCATTTTAGATAAAAGTCTTACTGAAGCTTTCCAAATGTTTTAGTACAAATAAGATACAATTTTTCAACATGCAACCAAATGAAAAACAAAGCCCAGGGTCCTGATAAGTGGTCGAGGCAAGAATGAAATAGAAATAGTCCTGGGTGACACCTTCAGAGGCTGCAGGGCTGTTAGTTCCCCTCTACTGGAGAATGACCTCTGGGAGCACAGTCTAACCAAAATTGAGTTTTATTTTCGAGTCTTGAATTCCTTTACATCCTAAATTACCAACGAGTAACTTGTTGGGTTAGAGTAACTGGCGTGGGGCTGGAGCAGCAGGGTAATGGAGAGGAGGTAGAAACCAAGATGGTACCTTGAGCTCCATTTTCAAGTTCAAGATTGGAGCTGCATTTGCGTGCAGTTCTCTACCTTCAACACCAGGTGGCACCACTCGCCTGCGTTCGACTGGCCCCAGCCAGCGCCTCGGTGCTGGTGATGAGGCTGATGCTCCCCGCAGGGAAGAAGCTTTCTGGGACTGAGGATTCAGCTCGCCTTCCCTTGTACGTGTCAGCCATGGACAGGGAGCTTCTGCCTTCATGTTCTCTCCTTTCTCTTTCTCTTTTTCAGCTTTGGTTCTCAAGTTAATGGGGCCAAACTACACTGAAATTTTTTGATCTATAAATGGGTTAAACAAGTGTTAGTTCTTTAAAGAACTGATTGTAGTGGCTCAGCATAGTAGTAGAGTATCTCATTTTGAATCATACTGGAATCTTCCCAATTCTAGCAAATGCCTCGTGTGGTTGGGTGTTGGGTCAGCTTGGCGGGTGGGTTCACTGGGACCCGCCAGCCCTTCTCCCAGTTTGCCTCTTGTTTTAAGCATTTAGCTTATGGTACTTTTAGCATGTGGAAGCTTGAAAGCTTTCCTTTGTAGTCAAACCACTAAGTCCTGTGTCTCTCAGCTGCGGGATTTGTGGCCCTGCGTAGAAAAGCCTTCTTTAGTTTAGGATTCTCAAAACCTTAACCTCTTACTTATTTTTTTCTTCAACACTTAGAATTTTCCGTTTACATATTTGTTCCATCTTGCTTGAACTTTAGTGTAAAAGAATGAGGTAGAAATCCAGCGTTAGAAAGGAAAAGGATCTGTGCGGGGGTAGAAAGAAGTGAATGCTGCACCATCAGCTTCTGGTAAGCAAGGAAGGACTCGTGTTCAGGTGAAGAAGTGAGAGGAGAAGAGTTCAGCCGCCCCCCTGAACCTTTCACCTGTGTCCTGGGAAGTAATTACTGTCGTCTAGGAATTAGGTTCTTCCCAGTGGAATCGCTGTTTGCTTTCTCTGTGAGAATGTGTTTCCACTGTTTCGCTTGTTGATTTACAATTTGATAAATATAACAAATACTTTGCCCTAAAAGCAAATATTGGGCCGTCGGTCAAGTCATGACCTAGTTTTTCCATGTTTCCTGTGCACAGAGCCATCGTGACTCCCCACCTCCCTACCTAATAGGTATAAAAAGTTCTTCCAGTAAAGCTTTCAAGTGCTTGATACATGGTAAGCAATTGCTTTGAATTGCTATGAATTGGAAGTCTCAAAAATTTTATTACACGTGTACAACATAATATCCTGTTGTCATGAGAAAAATTAGAAACTTTTTTTTTTGGTAACTGTGAGCTTGATTGGGAAAACTGGGAGTGCCTTACTCTCTCTGACTCTCGACTTTTATGAAATTTCCACCTGGGCTTGTTCACCCTTGCTTCCATGTCAGGGCCAAGAGACAGCACCCAAGGATGGAGACCTGTCTGGAATCCACTCTGAATTGGGGCGCACACTCCTGAGGTTCATGCTGTGTGTCACAGGATTTACTTTGAAGGCTGGAAAGAACAGCAATTAAGCTGAAAGAAAATAGGAAAGAGGAACTAAGGTAGGCAGAAGAGAACTAATAGTTAAGACCCAGAAGCCAATTTGACCAAGAAAAAAGGAGAAGGCGCTAATGCATGCTGAGAAGCAGGAATTGCCATAGAGAGGAATCCAAACACAGGTGAGGTGGTTTATGCACGAGGCTGTGCCTTGGCTTCTAATAGGAAAGCTTTGGAAACAACTAAACTTTCTTATCGAGAGGTTTCATTAAACAAACAATAGGTGATACCTACAGTAGGCAACTGCAGCTCATGTAAGCTACAGCCCTGAATTGAGCATGTGTGTATATGTCCTTTACACAGACATGGCATCTTTTAATTTTTTGAGATAATGCTGGTGTACGTTGTTTGTATTTTGCACGTATGGGATCCTTCTTTCTCCTTCTGACTTATTTTGTTTAGCACGATCCCTTCCAGCTCCATACATGTTCCCACAAATGGCATGAGACTATCTTTTTCACGGCTGTGTGATATTCCACGGGCTATATAGACCCTATCTTCTTTATCTACTCATCTGATTTGGGGGCACTTAGGTTGTTTCCACAGCCTGGCTATTGGAGACAGTGCTGCAGTGAACATGGGAGTGCAAATTTCCTTTAAATTAGTGTTTTTGTGTTCTTTGGGTAGACACCTATGAGTGGAATTGCTGGATCATATGTAGATCGATTTATAGTATTTGGAGAAAATTCCAGTATGTATATACTCATATAGAAAATCTCCAAGATTCAGTGTTAAGTGAAGAAAGCAGTGGTGTGTATACGAGCCTTCCCATATGGATGGGAGAGGGGAAGATGAAGAATGTATGTTCATATTAATCTGAATGTGCATTAAATTTCTGTAAAATAAATACAAAACAGGTAAATAAAAGACAGGAATGGTTACTTGTTGGAAGGAATGTGGACTCGGCAGGTGGGGTATGGAGATGGGAAACTTTCCACTGTCATCTTAGACTTTGTGATTGTACATTTTGCCTGCTGTTACAGAAAGGCTGCACTGTGAAAGCTCTTATTGAAGTGATTAAAATTTTTGAAAGAGTCATTTTAGGTGAGGGGAAATGGGCTCTGTGTCACTCGGCAGTCTGATGATTCTGTGCGAAGGGTGAGGCACAGGTGTGAGTTAAGGGAGCGGCGTGTGTGTTATCACCTTCGAGCTGCTGCAAATGCAGCGGAGACGGGCAGGTGCAGGTGTGATGTAAACAGACGCAAGTACAGGCGCAGCGGAGGACACGGAGGAGAACGTGGGGGGTCTTGCCTGGGAGGTAGGACTTTAGGAACCCCTAAGGACTCCGACAGCTGGCGATGGGGGGCTGTGGGCAGGTGGGCGCAAGAGGACTTTTTTTTTTTTTAAGATTGATTTATTTATGCATACAGAGCTGGGGTACAGGCCAGAGGTGCAGGGGTGGCGGAAGATCGACCAGACATAGAGTGGGGGGCAGGACAGATCGGCATGAGAGACAGGAGAGGTCCGCCGCGCCATGTGGTCACCTCCGGGGCCAGGGGTCGAACTCTCACTGAAGCCGCTGCCGCTAGCTTGCAGTGCTGGCTTTTACCCACCGCGCCACCAGGGAGGACCGCAAGAGGACTCCTTTTGGATGCAGGGAGGTGCCTACGCCAAGACTGGTGTTTTGGAGAGCGCACGGCTTGTTTGTGGAGTGGGAAGGTGGCGACTCTGGGGTGGGGCCGGGTTTGCCTGTGAGGGATTCTCCAGTGGGAGATTGCAAACGCAGGCAGAAGGAAGGAGACAGAGTCTGCAGCGCGCGCGCTTCAGCATCTCCCTCCGCGGATAGCTGGGCCTGTTTCGCGGTGCTCGGCCACTTGGCGCCACAGCCGCCGCCATTTTTTGAAACGGAGCCCAGATAACATTACTTCTGTCAGTGCTCCTGTATGTAGCTCTAAAAGTTACGGCTTTTTTTTTTTTTTTAATAACCAGTTGGAGTATAAATTTCCAGTCGCTTCTGAGATGTCATAGCTTGCTTTCAAGTAGTTTGTGTTGAAGTCAAGCCAAAGAAGGCCCACGAAGTCTAGTGAATTGACAGTGACTTTCAAGTCTCTGAGGTGTCCCCTGCATCTTTTTTTCTCCTTTATAATATTTGCTGAAGGGATGAGTGTTTGTCATGCTGCACTGCCCACCGTCAGGCGTTTGCTTCCATTCGCCCCCATGGTCTAGTTCTGGGCGTTTCCCATGGTCACTGCATCTGGGGCGTGGCCACATCCAGGTTAGGTTTTCTCTTGTTTTGGTTTTACTTTTTAAGGCTGTGGCGCGTCTCCCCTTCAGGGACACAGGCCCCGTTAGCTCTCTTTCTGACTTCAGCAGCCTTGGAGATCAGTGTCTCCAGTCACCCTGTCAAGTCCAAGGAATAAATCTGTGCGTTTCACTACAGCGACGCCTCTGTTTTTAACACCTCACCTACCACTATACTGTGTAGTAAGGACTTTAAAATGCCTGCTTAAGAATAATAGGTTTCAAGTGGCCTTTCACGAGCGGAATCCAACAGGTAATATACTTTCTATCATTAAAAACAAATGGGTCTCTTGATTCAGTGGATGTCACAGCTTCGGTTTTGTGTTTTGTGCTTCATAGATTGTTCTTCCGATGCAGCAGAAGTAAGGCAGAGGGCAGGCGGTGGTGTGGAAATATCCCGTGGCAGGTAGGAATTATTTGTCTGCTTTCAAATCTGCGTGTAAAACTGCTGAATCTGTGGCGCCGCGGAAAACACCATCAAGTCCCGTGTCAGCCGGCCGGTCCTCATCAGACTGCCTGCCAGACGGTTCTCTTCATTAAGCAGGGTCAGCCTTGTTGGGATGCCAAATCCTAACCACCGTGAGTTATAGGCAAGGCTAAGGTCATTTAGTTATTAACTTCACCTCAGTATTTTCTGAGGTTTAAAATGTAGCTAGTGTTCTCCTATTTAGGGACAAATTTAGATTGACACGGCCAGCTTCAGCATCTTTGTTAATGTATTTTTTTACACCAGTCTTCATTTTGTACGAGCTCTGCTTGTTTGAGCGGCATCGCCGCGGGGACACCCCCGCCAGTTCACCCACCCGCCGTGGAGGCAGTCCCCTGCGCTCTTCCCGCCCCCCCGCCCCCCGCAGAATGCCTCTGCTTTATAGTTGCCTGTTGATTTTGATTTTTACTTTATTATAATTACTTTTTTCCCCCCTCATCCCTCATTTGGATCCTCTGTATTCCTCCTAAAAGTGAAACCATCTGGAATTTTTCTTTTTCTTTCTGGCTTATTTCTCTGCGCACGATCCCATCCAGCTCCACCCATGTTGCTGCAAGTGGCATGAGCTTTTTTTTTTTTTATTGCGACTTCAGCACTTTAGCATCTTTTTATAGACCAATACCATGTGATTTTTGTATTAGCTGAGTGTAAATCAGAAGCTGCAAGAATCCCAGAATGGGGGGAGACCTGTGTGTGAAAAGCTGGAGCTGGAAAAGTAACGAGCCTTGTTTTGGCGCCTGCCACTGAATTTAACAATCCCGGGCTCCTCCCGTGACACCTTCCCGAAGCCCAGGTCGCAGCAAGCCTGGAGCTGGGTGTAGGTTTGGGGAGAAGCTCAACTGGGAGAATGGTTTGGCATGCCAAGGGTACATTGTGGCGTTGCTTTTGTAAAAGCAATTTGACTTGGTGACGCTGTTCCTTGAAGCCCAGCAAAGCCATGACTACAGACAGAGAAGGAACCGAGTTTTGAGAAACCAATTTTTTCTGCGTTTGGTGCATCGTCTGTTCTAGACGCCCACAGACCCCAGGCGCGTGCGGGGCCATTGCAGTGCTTCTATGTTTCCATCGCCTCTGATCAAAGGCTTTCACAGGTGAAGCTTGTATTCGTTCTTTATACTCTCTTCTTTGTCTTTTTAGGATCCTGATTTCAAAGAACATTCTGTAACCAGCAAGTCTCGGCATTCGTCAGAGCTGCTTCAGTACCCTGCCGGCCAGCAGAGAAACCCCTTCAAGGTCCTTGATAAGAATCGAGAGCCTCTAGCCTGGAAACAGTTCCTCAAAGGTGAAGAAAGGGACAAGATGGCTGCCAAGAAGCAGCCAGAAAAGGCAGATCGACCTTTGGATCAAAAGAAGACACAGAAGCCCGACTCTAGCTCCCGGGTGAAGCAAGACGTCTGCCCTGGGCTGGTGGGAAAGCAAAAGCAGTCTGCGCTTGGAGAGAAGCAGCAGGGGCCGCCGGCAGTGTCTCTGGGGGAAGCAAGGGAGGCCGGAGGCCACGTTCTGGAGGTTTCTCCCACATGGACGAAGCTGGAGAAGCCGTCCGCATCTCCTCGGGAGGAGCCAGGCGGCGAGCGCCATTATGTCCAGAAAGAAGCAGAACCGCGGAGAGAAAAGGAAACCAGGCCTCTGTCTGAACTGATTAGTAGTCAGAACCCAACAGGCCGGCCCCAGAAAGGGGGCCCTGGCGGCCAGGGGCACCCCCAGAGCCCGGAGGCTAGTGAAACAGAGGCGCAAGAGGGGCCCGGGGCGCAGACCGTGCGGCAGCAGCCGCTCCTCCACGGCCGAGCCCGGCCACACACAGAGCCCCGCACTCTGCCTGCTCTGAGAGCACCGGCGGCCACCGCGGGCCCCGCCCTGGGCAGGCGGCCCGAGGCCGACACCAGCAGCAGTGGCAGCGAGGAAGACGGTGTGACCTTCGTGCCCGCGAAGCCTGCAGCCCCCCTGCCCTCTGGCTCCACCCCAGGCTCTCAGGACAGCGCTCAGCTCTCTGCTCAAAACGCTCAAAGAAAACCGTCTCCGGCCTCAGGGGCGCCCCGGAAGGTAGAGCCTTCAGGCCCAGCGGCCCAGCGTGTGCACCTCACTACGCAGCTGAGACAGAAGAAGGTGGGGCTGGCGGGCGCTTGGGGAGCAAGGTGGGGCGCGGCTCGCTCGGGGCAGAGACGGGCGGCCTCCTGCTAGCCGTCGGTGTGCGTGGGGAGGCGTCACAGAGGGCTGTTCAGTTTCCGCCTTTTCCTGTGTTTATGCCTTCAGGATTGATAAGTCAGCTGGGTTTCAGAAACCAAAGTCCTGGTTTGCACACACCCGCTAGAAGAACATGCTTTGAGCGGCCTAACACGAGCGGACACCCACCTCGCAGGATCTCTTTTGCAGAGCATACTGGCTTCGGTGAACATCCAGGCGCTTCCAGACAAGGGTCAGAAGTTGCACGAGCAAATCCGGGACCTGGAGGAGAGACTCGACGCCCTGACCCTGTGCCCGGAGCCAGGTAGGGTGGACGGCTGCAGGGCCTGTGTGAGCTCTCCAAAGAGACTTAGGGACGCCGTTTTGAGAAGGAATCTGTTCATCCCCTCACCTCTCCGCTTCAGTGTGTGCTTCAGCCCTCTCACCGTGCAAGCGACTGGTTAGCTGCTACGCTTCCAGGACGCCCTCCCCGCACGTCAGGGCCTGTCGGTCCCACCTTCTCACCTCCCGCAAGTGACCTGGACGCTTTGCTGAACTCTCACGAATGTGTTTTGAGCAGACATTCCTGAGGAGACTCAGATGGCAGCAGCGCCGCGGAAGAATGTCACCAGGTCAACGGCTGAGCCGCCAAACTTGGTGCCCGCCGCCCCCCTGCAGCGCCAGGATCTGCAGCCTCTGGGAGCTAACAGGTTCAGCGAGCGCCCACCAGGTAAGACCCGAGGGCCTGGCGCTGGTGCGGGGGCTGCCGGGAGTGAAGGGCCTCGGGCGCGGTGGCGGGAGGGCGGCCCGCGTCGCGGTGCCCGGGTGATTGAGGCGGTGACGCTCAGCCGGGCTCTGCGTGGCCTGTTTGGAGCCCAGAGGCCAGCGTCTGTGTCTGCCTGTTCGCTGGCCTTGACCGGTCAGCCCAGGGCTGGCGCGTGGCAGCCTCCCAGCCAGTGTTTGTGCATGAACACGCGGACCCGTGTAGGTGCACGCGGGGCAGGGCAGGGCAGGGGTGACCCAGAGGCCCCAAACCAGCGCTGATACCTGTCTGGCTGCCTCTTCGCACCCTGAACTTTGCAGAAAAGGACGATCTGAGGAGTAGCTGCAGAACCAAGACCCCTAGTCGAGCCACACGCACGTGGCATGACTGGCCGGGCTGCGGGCAGGAGAGAGAACCCTAAGCCCAGGCTTCTCCCAGGGGGGCGCTGCTGGAGACACCGGAGAAAGGGGGGAGTGAAGGCAGGGGAGGGAGAGAGGAGAAACATACTGTGCCCCAAGAAGCTGGGGTCGCGCTGAAGGGTCAGGAGACAGCGAACTTGTTAGCGTGGCCTCCCCTGGGGCTGGGCTGCCGGCCCTGGGGGGCAGGGCGGGGCCTGCGCCACCAGAGGAGGGCCCACTTTGGTCAGATTAGTAAAATAGGGACGTCTGTGCTATGTTTTGGGAGGTATTCCGGTAAAATAGTGACTTGTTTAAAAACACGTTAACATTTAAATGGCGGATTTTTATGTCTGGAAACATTTTCTTTGGGATGCTTCACCCCTAAAATTGCCACCAGCTGAGGCACCGTCTTTGTTAACAGACTTCGGGAGCCGCCCCTGTGTCTTGAATTCCACCTGCCTGGCCGTTTCTGTCGCCCACTTTCTGCCTTTGATTCTCTCTTCTCTGCCGAAGATGTTGGTGGTCATCTTATTTTTCATGCACTCTGTTTTGTCCTTAGTTACAGTAGTTCTTGGTGTGATTAAAAAACAACAACAACCCAGAGAAAGAGCTAAGGATGAGAGGGTGAGGGTCTGAGCGGCCGGGGGGCCGTGTGGAGCCAAGAGTGCCCCTCTGACAGGCCCGCTGGCCGGCAGATTGCAGACTGCTGCCAGAGGCCGCGCCCCGGGCGCCTTGAGCTCACTCCTGTTTGTGTGCAGGCCCCCTGAGCTCCACTCCCAACTGGGAGTGGCAGGTCACGAAGGAAGCCGTGTACGCACTGCATCGGTCCCTTGAGTCATGTCCCGACGAGACCGCTGAGGCAGAGGACCCCGCTGGGCTGAAGGTGAGCCCGGGGTCCGCCCCCAGAGGCCGGTGCGCCCCGAGAGGACAGCTACAGGGCAGCTGCCTAGCGTGGCCATCCGGTAAAGCGTTCGGGGTCGCCGCCCATCCGTATTTTTCCTCTTGAGTACTGAGACAGAAGCGCCACTTTGCTTTCTCAAGGCCACACGGTTGCAGGGGTCTGTGGCCAGAGGCTCCGTTTGCTCATGTCACAGGACATGAAGACTTGCCGCCTCCGTGAAGGGCTGTGTACACGCCCGGGACGCAGTTAGAAAGGCCCGAAGACCAAGCTAGAGCGCAACGTGCTGTAGGGCCAGGTGCACAGTGTGCAACAGCGAAGCCCGCTGCCTGCCCACTGCGAGTCTTCAAGACCGCGGAGAGGAGAGAAGCCAGACTCTCCAGCTGGGGGGAGACTGATGGTGACGTCGGCGCCTGAGCTGGGCACAGCAGGGGCCTTACTGAGCAGGACGCCTGCTGTGGAGCCTGGCACTGGAGAAGGGGCTTAGCCGGGCCAGGCTCCAGAGGGAGCTGGGAGAATTGTGAGCAGGGGTTTTTTAAGCAGATTGTCTTTTCAACACAGACAAGACAAACTCGAGTCAGAAAAAGACTCAAGGGGAAGTCCAGCTAGTGGCTGTTGCGATTTGGCTAGCAGGCCCGGCTGTGGGCTGCCGAGAGAGGCCAAGGTCAAGAGGTGCTGAGGAAAGGCTGGTGGAGTGGCCCAGGGGAGGGTGGCCAGTCACCAGCAGCCGAATCTGACTTTGGCTGGGGAAGCAGCCGCTGAAAGAGTGAGGGGGGCTCTGTGAGGTGCTGGGCAACTATCCCTGGCCACCTTGGATGTACGGTCGCTCTGGTGAGGGCAGCAGCCAAGCGCTTCAGAGGCTCCTGAGCAGCTTACCGACAGCCGGAATATCAAGAGGGTCATGGAAACAGGGCGAGACTAGATTGTGGATCCTCGCAGCCAGGAGCCTGCCCAGGTGCTCACCAGGAATTCACGCCTCACTCAGGTTGTTGCCTCTGTCAGGTGCCTTTGCTGTTACACCAGAAGCAGGCGTTGGCCTGGCTGCTGTGGCGGGAAAGTCAGGAGCCACCGGGAGGGATCCTGGGTAAGTCGGTGCTTCGAATGTGTGTCTCTCTCAGTCCTCTCAACAGCTCTGTGTGGTTGGCTGGGTCACGCCCCCATTTACAGACAAGGAAACTGAGGTACAGAAAGTTGAGCAACAGTCTCAGGAGAGCAGAGCTGAACGGTCAGTCAGGTGTTGGTTGTAGAAGCTGTTTTGACTGACCAAGCAGAGGGGGAGTGTGGGCCCACAGGGAGCTTCCTCCTCCTCCGAGCTGAGTCTCGTACGAGTCCATGGGGTCTGGAGAGCGGCCGTGCCTGGCTGCAGAGCCTACGGGCGGCTTTCCAGGCTCTGCTTTGGGGACTCATCTCCTGAGGATTTTCCAAGGTGTTCCACTTCTAGAAAACACGATCAGTGTCCACGACAGCTAGTCATCGCTGTGCCGGGGATCCTCTGGACTCCGTGACTGCTAGGACTTGTCCGTAATTGTACCCATGACTAGAAATTATAACAGTAAAAGAATAAAGTTATTTTGATGTGACACAAGTGAAAATCCTCAAATGAAAGCCACACACGCGGCAAAGTCCAGAGCAAGCCAGGCCGCAGTTTCCAGCGGCCTGCCCATGAAGTGAGACCCGCAGGGCAAAGCGAGCCCGGCCAGCTGGGGCGGCAGGCGTACAGCTTGCCCACCAGGAGAGCCCCTCACAGCTCAGTGCCTGAAGTACCGGTGGCCGGCCAGACAGGCAGCCGCAGCCTGCTTGTGCCGGAGTCCCAGACTCCAGGGAAAAGCAGGCGTTCGCATCGCCTGTATTGCTCACAGAGTTTAGGCCCGGCGAGCCACCCTCGCCCGCTGTGGGAGTGAGCAGTCCCCACCAAGTCCGGGCTCCCAGATGCCAGGCCAGGGCCAGCCTTGTCAGCCGGCCGTGCAGAGGGCAGTCGCTGGCCTGTGTGGTCACTGTTTCTCTGCAGGGTGACAGGGCCGGTGCTGGAACAGCGCCCACATTTAACATCTGCTTATGTCACTGAGCATTTCAGTTAAAATAAGGCTAATAGTACATCAGGTTGACGCAGTAAGTGGGCCAAGGCCAGAGACGGGCAATGTCCGTGCCCAGAGTGTCGGTTTCTGCCCGACTGACAGAATCTGAGGGGATGGAGGACTGTTCTGAGGTAACTCCAGAACTGTGCTGACCCGAGCAGGGTCAGATCCACTAGGCCTTTTTGCTTTTGAGGGCAGAGAAAAGACAGGTCAGCATCCTCAACTGGGAAGACACCGCCGTGCCTGTCGGACAGTAGCACCGTACTGCGCTAACGGGAGGGAGATCTCAATAACGCCCCACGGTTTATACACGTTATGATGAACGACTGACCTGGACTCCAAAACAAAGCGCAAGGCCTGGGGGACATTTGAATGAGCATGACCACATGTTCGTCAGGGCAGCTAGGCGAGCCGTAACGGCACCACCAGCAAAGAAACGGGCACGTCTCCTGCAGCTGAGGCTTCGCTCCAGTAATCCACTCTCTGTGTCTGCTTTTGCTTTCCAGCGGATGACATGGGCTTAGGAAAGACACTCACGATGATCGCACTCATTCTGGCCCAGAAGAATCAACAGGAAACAAAAGCAGTGGAGCAAAGCCTGCCGTTGGTGCTCTCCAAAGATGGTACAGCTGCTGACCCCACTCTGGGAGCCGGCGCCGAGCCCCTAAACCACGCAAGCGCCCCGGGCATGCAGGACCCAGCTATTGGGAACCAGTGTCTGGCTGTGGTTTATGGCAGCCTTTCTGACATCAGCTATGCTAAATCATACATTTTCTGTTTTTTAGCTTCATCTTTGCATAGAAAGACCTTATGGAGAAAGCCTAAGGCTCTGGCCTATCTGGTTCTAGCAGTGATGACTGTTTTTGCTTAGGTCGAGGCCCTGTCTCCAGGGTAGAGCCAAATTATACTAGCATATTCTGCCTGCAGGGAAGATCTGTGATAAAGTCAGATGTTAGGCACCACAGCAAAAGCTGTTTTCCATGTGTCTGAAATGTCTAGAAGATCTCTGTCGTCCAGCCTGTTTTTTAAATGCATTATCGGTGTGAGTTCTTGACAGGTCCTGCGTGGAAGGTGTGTACAGCACCTCATAGACACGGGACATTCCTCACTTGGTTGGGCAGCAAAGAAATCTGTGGCCACCTGGCCTGCGGGCCACAGTGAGCAGCCGGGCCGCTGCCCCCGGGTCCCTGTGACAAAGCCGTGTCTGCTCCTGCTCACGCACGGCCGGGCCGGGCCTGGTGCAGACACGTCACCAGCTGGTGCAGGTGATGCTTAGCCGAGGAAAGGTCTTTGGACTTATGTTTTGAGCGGGGTTTCAGGTACTTTTTTAGAAAAAAGCAGTCACCCTTCCCTGTAATGAAGCAACTCACGGGAGTCAGGAGCTGATCTGGCGGCTCTGTGACCGCGCACCGCGGGTCTTCCCGCTTCAGATGGGGCCGCGTGCTGCTCACTGTCTCTGACACGGTGGGGACACAGGAAATCGTCCAGTGTTTTGGGTTAAAAGATCACCTCTTCCACTGCCTGCCTGTGAGCTACCTGTCCTGTGAAAGCAGCCGTTGTTCCAAGTATTAAATGAGTCCAGGGCTAGTGTGTTTAGGAAGGTGAAGCCGGCGAATGTGTGTAACGGGGTGTTGGCGTCCTCCTCCAGGCCCCCCTCAAGACTCCCCTGAGCTTACTTCCCACGGAACACTACTCATCTGTCCTGCTTCCCTGCTCCATCACTGGAAAAATGAGGTGGCGAAATGTGTGAAGAGCAGCAGGCTGAGGGTCTGCCTCTACCACGGCAAGAACCGGGACACCAGTGCGGAGGTGTAAGTAGGGAGGGCCTTCGGGGCGCGCCTCCCCGCGGAGGGGCCGCCACCCGCTCTGCTCCCCGTGAGGTTCTTTAGTCAGCGCCACTGGTGACCGTGAGGACTGAACGGCCTCCGCCTGTACCGCGGGGGCCTCTGGAGGGAGAAAGGCACCGCCCGCTGGGGCCCGGGTGCTGCCCTGCGGAGGCCCGTGGCCTGAGGGGCCTGGCGGCTGGGCTCCTGGAGACGGGCAGCGCAGGCCCCTTGCCGTGGTCCCCGCAAGGTGCAGCTCTGGGTGGAGCAGGCTGGCGCGTCAGCCGAACCTGCGTCCCTTGCTCTTTGGCTGCCTTCTGATTTCTGGTCATTTTCTTTCACGCATTTCCAGAAGCTGTGTCAGCTCTTGGAGTAGTTAATACGCTCAGTGTGAACATCTCTTGGCAAGAATCTTGGCCTTGTTTGTTCACAGCAGGACCACCTGCATGCTGGGGAACGTTACGGCCGCTTCCAGGCTTGCTGTGGCAGCACGTGAAGGGCGTCCCTTTGTGGACAGTGCCCATCCGCTGGATGTCCCCAGTACCGCCTCGCTCGTGATCCGCACGTCTGCGCCAGAGGCGCCGGCCTGTGCTTTCTGCAAGGGCCAGAGAGCACGGCAGGCGCCTCTCCTCTCTCCTCTGTCTTGGTCGTTTTCGCGACTCACTGGGAGGTGGCAGTTCTGGCCATCTTAGTGTGAATGCAGAGAGAGGGGTTACCCGAAGGCCCCCCAAACTGCCTGCACTAATAGGTTCTGCCATCCAGTGCGTAAGACATACCTACCCCAGTGTGTCAGACCTTCGATGGAAAGGCGCTTGAAGAGATTGTGCGATGCAGGGAAGGGGAGGGCAAGAATAGGGAAGACAGTTTCCACATGTAACACCCTGTGATCCGTCCCCTCATGGGCAGATGCCCAGCCACACAGGGGTGGCCCAGAGCAGGGCAGCTGAGGCCCCAAACTGCCACAGTGTGAGGCCTCTTCCGGGGGACCCACAGGAGCGGCCAGAAGGGGCCGGCAAGGCTGGGACACGAGCAGCAAAATCAGAGTCAAGATAAAGGCTGCCTCTGGCAGCTCCCGAGGGTCTCTCACCCATGTGTGCCTTCGGGTCTTCCCCTGCCCCCCAAGACCCTGGTCTAGGTCCAAGGGGAGAAGCAAGCGTGACATCACACATCTTTCCGTCCGTCCCCATGCTTCTTCCAGCCTTCTCTTTCCCCTCTCTCTGCTTCTTTCCAGTCCCTTTTCCAGCCTCTTCCTGCCTTCCCCTCCGGCCGGCTCCGCCCTTCCCTGGGGGCCAGAGAGCCGCTGCTCACACAGCAGCTGCCCCACAGAGCGGTGGACTGGTCCTGCAGGCCGACTGCATTTGGCTATGCTTTTCTGTACATGAGCCACCGGAAGAGTTTGGCTCAAGTCTCCAGGGTTAAGCCACCGTAAATTTCTGAAGGCGGTGACCGGAAGGGGGAAGGAGAACATTTCCCAGATGGCAGTGTTAGTCTCTTGGTTTGAAAGGAATTGGATTCGCACTTCGGCCGCATCTACCTCTGTGGTCAGAATGTAGCCGTTACCGATCGGCACATTCTCAGCACTTGTTGACATGACTCAGGCAGCGTGCAGGTGTCGCTGCCTCTAATCCGACACAGCGTCTCTGTTCCCGGACGCCCTCTCAGGCCAGCGTGACGCTGTGCCGGGAAGGATGGGTGTCTCACGTTGAGTCTTGGTACGGAGGGGCATGGCATGGTTATAGCATATGTCTTAAACCAAAATGTCCAAGCGGGATTCATGGGTGTTTACAAACCCATCACAGGACACAGAGACAACAGCATCGACGCTCTGGGGGTTTCCTAGCCACCCCGGGACGCGAGCACCCATTCCCCAGCCCTGCCTCGTGTCTGACCAGGTCCTGTCAAGCTTAATCTGACGCCAGCCAGAGACTTTCCTTTCTGGGGAAGGCTGGGAAGACAGAGTGGTCTAGCTTTAGTGAGTAGACGGTAGTGGTAAGAGAGAAGGAGGCCCAGGGAGTAAGATTTATCTCTCCCAAATCGGGTTAGGATGGCGGACGTGAGTTATGAATTCCACTGTGGGCACTTTTGTAAAGGGACCTGCCCCTGCTCGCTGACCATTGTGGGGATCATCGACCATCTGCTTTGTGTTGTGTCTATGCAGCCTTTCTACATATGACATTGTCATCACCTCCTATAAACTTGTGGCACTAGAGGTTCACGCAAAGAAGCCGAAGGGAGAGACCCCGGATGCAAAGCCCAGGGCGAAGGTGAGGCTGGGGCCCCAGGGAGGTAGTGCGGACTGTGTGCGTGGTGCCGTGGGATTACCTCTCTGCTACCAGGTTGCAAGCTCCTCGGGCGGAACTGTCCCGTCACTCAGCGTGTTACATGGAAGAGCAGACTCGATAAATTTCCAGTGAATTTGTGTAAATGGAGTAAATAGTGAATGGGTGAATATGTAGGCTTGACCCCTGCTGTGAACTTCAGCCCTCGCCATTGCCCGAAAGTGGTTGAGAGGATCCGTGAAAACCCAGCGGAACACACCTTCAGCGCCCGGCTTCCAGCCGACTTGTTCTTCCTTTGTACCCACTGGGAGTTTCCACTCTTGGTCTCTTCAGCTTCACCTTTACGTCACGTCTCTAGCTCAGAGCTCCTGGGTGGAAGGTCAGAGGGAGACCTCGACTCATTTATTTCCATCCTGTTGTTAGATGTCACTTGTGCTTCTTTCAGGGACCCTCGACTCCTTTGCTGCGGATACTCTGGGCTCGCATCGTATTGGACGAAGCTCACAATATTAAGAACCACGACGTGCAGACCTCCGTTGCTGTGTGTCAGCTCCGTGCCTGCGCCCGTTGGGCCGTCACTGGAACCCCCATCCAGAACAACTTGCTGGACATGTATTCCCTGCTGAAGTGAGTATCTCTGGGACTTTAGATGTGAACCCCGTCAGTGATTATTTCACACCACGATAAAGTGTTGGTTTGTGCCGCCTTCCCTCTTGGCCTGCCATCTTGAAAGGGCACAAGGAGTTAATATTTATAAGAGAATGATCAGTTGATGGACAGGCCGATAGAGGACTTTGATGACACCCAGCTCCTCTGTATGGAAAAACTAGGACAGGTTGAATTAAAGGGAACAACAGCCATTTTTTCCAGGTCAGTGTAGAAAACTAGGAAACTAGACTAGTTCTGTGTTAAAACATGTGGTGTGGGTCAGGACTACCGTTTATTTGAAGGAAATGGAACAGAGGCTGATTTTAAAACACTTGCTTTTATTTAAGCGAGCACCTAGGAGGATATGGAATTCCTTTGCTGACCTTTGAAGCATTAGGAATAAATTCTGCCTTGCTTCAAGTTTCTGTTGTGACGCTACAGACATAATCAGTGGGAAAATTCACATCCTGATAATGTGGTTTTGTTACTGATGGGGGCCCTTTGAACTGTCTAGCAGAGCTTTGCCATGAATTCACTTTTAAAAATGATAAGATGACAGGTGTAACAGGAAAGCTCATTCGTTTTTCATCTCTTGTCTTTCTTCAAACATTTACTCCCTCCTCCCACACTTCTCCTCTCCGGCTCTCTGACCTTCCCCAACAAAAAAAGATTTCTTCGTTGTTTTCCATTTGATAACTTGAGTCTGTGGAAGAGTCAGGTTGACAACAGTACAAAGAAAGGGGGAGAGCGGCTAAGTATCTTGACCAGAAGCCTTTTGCTGAGGAGAACAAAAGACCAGAAGGACGCAACTGGCAAGCCCTTGGTAATCTCGCAGCGTGTGTCCCGGGGTGTTGGGGGCAGTGACGCGGCCTTGTCTTGGGTTGAACAGTCCTCTGCTTTGTCTGGGAGCCCCAGAGCACCCCTTTTCCCTATGAGGGGGCCCTGAGGTTGCTGCGCAGTGCCTAAGCATCCTTTGAGGGAAGAGGGGAAAGTCTGTCCAGGGGTTGACGAGATGTCCCGTGTCGACCCTGGGGGATTTGCTGTAATGTTTGGTTTATTGTAATAACCTCACCCAGCTGCTCATTTGTTTTATTCAGGTGATGCTGCCCCAGCGTACTTTCCAGCTTCACTGTTTAGAGCTCTCTGTAGCTGAGAAGGAAGTTTACGGTGTCCTTTTCGCAACATCAAGGTGTGTGTGCAGCGAAGAGGTGCCTCCTCCCATGTATTGCTCTGTTCTTGCTGGACAGTGAGTCGAGGTCAGGCTGCCTGAGACCGCTGAGGCCATATTTACGTGTCACTGATACCTGACCGCCTGTGTCCCTTTCCTTCGGACTCCCTCCCCGCTCCCCAGCTCACCTTGGTCTCAGCACATGGAAGGCTTTGAAGCCTTGCAGAGAATCCCCGAGTAGGGTCACTGTCCCCGGATCTGTCTGGCCCTCCCGGGACCTTCTGGAAAAGGTCTTAAAACCTTGGAGCTTAAAACGCGCTACGTCTTGTCATCACTTCTTTGTACTTCCTCGGAAGCTTCCGTCCTGAGTTCCAGGTTTATTCCGGCCCGCTTGTCAGCTCTCACTGCCGGTGTAAATGTTTTTTCTTTCTGGGCACCTTTTTTTAATACTCACCGATCGTACTGTGACATTGATGTTAGATTCATAAATAAATGTTAATGTAGTAAACCCATGTAGTATATATTAATGAATAGGAAGTAACAATAACACTTTGTGGAACTGACCCATTTGCTAGTCATTTTTAAACGATTTGTGTTTTAGATAATTGCATTTTTCGTTGCCTCTGCCCGGTGCTTGCTGAACCTGACCTGGTCCAGCAACCCGCTCATCTGTAATGTGCCAGGCCCTGCAAGCACAGTTCCGCGATGACCTTTGTGACCTTGTGGCCTCCTCAACCCTTGGGTCTTAGTGACCCTCTGCATTTTCTCTTTTGGGCTGAAACAGGTCAATTTTGCAGTCCTATCTAAGAAGACAGGAAAGTGGGGACCGCCAGTCTGAAGCCAGCCCTGATGATCCATTCCGTAGAGGTGAGTCGTCAAGGAAACGTGGGTTCAGCCTCAGCACAGGTACAGAAAGGAGGTCTTGGTTTCTTAGTATCAGACCTGCCCTCAGCTAGGAATCACCCCAGCCTTGTAACGCTGACCAGCTAGCACTGCACCCCGCATGCTAAGCTTCTCTTGCATCATTTTAAAAATCTGCTCTATTAAAACGTGAGTAAGTCTGTAAAGAAAACCCGTGTTTCACTGGGCTGCGTTGGTACAGAAGTGAGTTATCACTAACTGTTGACACGTTTTAAATGGCTGCTTCTAGTTCGGATTCTTCTCCACATTTCCCACTCAAACCTGTTCTCTTCTGGGCTTTGATTTCCTCATTGGCAGTGGCCCGGGAGTTTGGGTACAGCGGCAACCGCGCAGGCCCCGCGGCCGCGGCCTCACGGAGCGCCAGCCAGAGGAGCGTGCTGTCTCAGCTGCTGCGGCTGCGCCAGTGCTGCTGCCACCTCTCTCTGCTGAGGACGGTGAGAGAAGCCCTAGGCGGGGCCCGGGGGGCTGCTGGAGACGCGCCTCTCGGCCTCCTCCAACGGGGTCGTCTGCTGGATCCAGGAAAACGGGGCTTGGAGAGCTGTGGTTGGGGCAGACAGAAGGAGCTTGCCGCCTTGTTTATTTTGCTTTATGTTCATCTTCATTGATCTCAGCCATCCCCGTGGTCTTGAGTTTTTATGTTTGTTTTGTTTTAAATACGCTTTCAGATGGGAAGTGGCATTTTATTAAAAGGAAACTGGAGACTTTGGCACTTTAGCATAGGAAGGCTAGTTTGGTTGTTGTGTTGTTTGTTTTTTTTTCCTGCCTGTGGCATTACTAGGGCCTTTAAGTTCAGTTAGGACAGCACAAGTCTTTGTACAATTGGCAAAGTCGCCTTCACGCTGGTAGAGGCACCGTCACAGTTAAGCGTGGCCTGTCATTCTTTTGAGCAATTGGGAGCGTGTAGCTGGATGTTTACTGGCTAAATTAACTGTGTTCTAGCGGGGGAGTAGGATGCCTGAGTGAGCTGCCTGGCAAGTCCCCGGAAATTCCGTCATTTGATTTGCTTTTAACTTGGTGAAAAAATGCACAAGGTTCCATTTTCACTGGGTTTCTCTGAAGGGATACTGATGATAAGTCGTAGGGCTGCTTGTGTGGCGCGTTGGGTGTGAAGCGTTGGGGAGTTCTCGGGCTTGTTGCCTCAACTGCCCTCCCACTCCTGCCCCTCCTTGTTCTGCTCAGGCCCTGGACCCGTCGGAACTGAAGAGTGAAGGCCTGGACCTCTCCCTGGAGGAGCAGCTCAGTGCTCTGACCTTGTCTGAATTCCAAGACCCAGAGCTGTCGTCCACTGTCGCCCTCAATGGCAAACACTTCCAGGTGGAGCTTTTTGAAGACACGAGAGAGAGCACCAAGGTACTTCCGTCACCACCGCTGTGGCGGAATGACTCTTGAGGCCTCACGTTTTCCCACGTGGGCCCACTAATTCTGGCCAGCGGGCCCTCTCTGGGTGGGAGGACCAGAAACACTAGGTAGCAGCCGCTCAGATTCTCGCTCTGGTCTTAAACTCTTGATTTTGCGAATGATTCTAAGCTCGCTGACTTAGCTTTTGGAGAGGGGCGTGGGTTAGCTCGACGTCAAGGTGGCTTTCTGCCTGCACCAGGGGGGAGCCCTCCGGCAGGGCTGTGTGGCAGTGGCAGCAGCGCCTGCGGGAGCAGCAGCTTGTGGCTGGGAAGTTGTGAAGGAAAACAGCCCTGGCTCGGCCCTCGAGACTCACACCTGTGGGCGACAGTGGCTCCGACTGTTGATGGGCCATTTGCCAGGATCACTTCCTGTGAGGACTTCAGGCCTCCTCAGACATTCGCTGCCTTTTCGTTAGAGCGTTCTAGGAGAGGAAGGCTGAGCTCTGCTGTGAGGCCCCTGCCCGGGCCTGTTGGCATGTCGCCACAAGCTTGCTGCTGCGGTGGGGTTTGTTTCTCTCTGTCCTTCCTGACCCAAACCTCACTCCTCAAGGGCTCTTTTTAAAACACAAAATAACTGGAGAGGAGGTTGCTGCCAGGGGAGCACTGTTATTTAAGAATCACTGTACTTAAAAATCTTAAATATTTGCCTGGGTCTTCCTCATAAGATGAGCACCCTACGTGGCCAGACTTCATACCCTCATGTCTTCAGAGTCAGCTCTCGGGGTTAAAACGTCCTTCCTCGCGGATCCATTTTCCTAGTCTCACAGGCTGTGCGGATTGACAAGGCTTCTTGACACAGGCCCGTGAGTGTTGGGCTGTTTCACAAACCTAACACCCGCGGAAGGTACTGGCCCCGGAACGCTGCCCTCGGGCCTCTGGTCAGCTCCATCACGGGGGAGAGTCGCCGTGCGTCAGCAGTTCCGGCCCAGGCGCCTGTCAGCCGGGTGGCGACAGTGCAGCTGCAGGTCCCCTCTTTGTCCAGGGTGCGGGGCGCCCAGGTGCCGGCGTCACAAGGCGGCGTGTGTGGCTGCCTCCGCGGCTCTTTCCGGGGAGGACGGTGAGCTCTTCACTGGGCATCCGCAGGGCTGGTGGAGTAAGGCGTCTTCGCCCCGAGGCCTGGCCCACCACCCCAGGGCTGCGCTAGGCCTGAGATGCAGTTGGCAGGTCGCCCGGGTGCGCAGCTGGGGGGAACAAGGCGCTTGGTTGTGCCATCTCACAGTCTCACCCTGGGCCTACGGGGTCTCCCATGCGGTGTGGGAGGGCGCGGGAGGGTCGGGACAGACCCCAGCGTCTGGAAGCGTCAGTGCATGTTCCTGGCACTGGACGGGCCTCTTTGTTCAGCCACCGGAGCGCCCAAAAGTGGAGCCAGTTCTCACCCTGCGGACCTTCGGCCCAGACCCTTGCTGGCCGCAGAGGGCCGGGTGCTGGGGACACGAGGCTCTTCCCTTGGAGTATCTGAGGTGGTGGCAGCGGGAGGTGGTGGGTGCACAGCTGCTGTAGAGCGTGAAGAAGACCGTGATGACAGAAAGGACGCTAGAGAGGGTCCCGGCAGGCAATGCCCAGCCCTTCTGTGGGGGACCGCCCAGAGTGGGTGACGCTGACTCACAGGAGTCTCAGGCAGAGGGAAGAACATGGCACAGGTGCTGCTCAGCAGAAGAAGAGAGTGTCGTTTGACGAGGCTGCGGTGGGTGACGGGCTAGAGCTGCAGGCAGAGCACCAGGCTCCCCTGGGCCCCGTCCCCCCCGTGGGTGGCCGGCCACTCGCGAGTCTAAAGGGGAGGAACGCAGAAATTTATATTTTAGAATCAGCGGTCTGTCTGCGAGAGGAGTCTGAGGAACAGGACCGGGTGCTGTGAGGGGCTGCGTCCGTGATTCACGTGAGAGAAAACGGAGGAAACTGCACTTGCCTAAAGCTACATATGTTCGTGTAACCTTTCCCCAGATCTTATGCCTGCTGGAAAGGCTGGAGGCCATCCGAAGAGAACCAGGGTCCCAAAAGAGGTAAAAGCGCCCTTTATCCGCATGTTGCTGAAACGAAGCAGAGGCATTTGATCTTGCTGGTCGTCATCAGTCTGGCTTTTCTGCATCAAGGGCCTTGAGTCTTGCTCCGCAGAAAGCACTGAGGGTAGCGCGTGCCCTGTGGTTTCAAAGGAAAATGTTTGCGGCACAGATTGAAAAGGGAGTCAGAGGATCCGGGTTAGCCGGCGGCGGGGCAGATGAGAAGTAGAGCAGCGGCTCAGGGAAGGACGGGGCAGCGGTGTAGAAGAGGGGGCCTGTGTGTGGACAGGCGCCGGCTGGGTGGGGGACACAAGAGGTTCCCTTCGCCCACTGCGAGCTCTTCGCCCGGTTCTGCGTGTGCGTTTGTGTGTGGGAAATACAAATCGTAAGGCAGTTAAAGCCTAGCGTGGGGGGAGGGCGGGAGCGGCAGCTTGTTCTGACGGGCAAGGGGAGGCGCCTGCACCCCCTGCTGCGGGAGCCCGGCTCGCCTTCAGGGGTGCCCAACCCCGAGGCGCCCTTCATGGTTTACGTGTAGCCCCACTTTGTCCGGACTCCACTCAGCGCAAGGTGAGTCACAGGACCAACGAGGCTTCGAGTCTCACGGGCCCAGGTGTGTGTCTTTGCCCCTCGGGTGACAGAGAGGCGCCTCTGATGCTGCATCTCAGACCAGTGGGGTCGCTAGCGCCCCGCAGGTGACCTATTTAACGGCCACGTGGCGTGTGCTCCTCCACAGCGTCATCGTCTCGCAGTGGACCAGCATGCTCAGAGTCGTGGCCTGGCACCTCAGGAGGCGCGGGCTGACCTACGACACCATCGACGGCTCTGTGGGCGCCAAGCAGAGAATGGACTTGGTGGAGGCCTTTAACAGCTCCAGAAACCCTCAGGTATGCCCCGGTCGCCTCAGAGCTCGGCGATCAAGAGCAGAGTGCGCCCAGGCGCGCAGAGAACCGCAGCGCAGGGCAGCTCCGTTGAAAGCTATCCACAGCCTGGACTGCAGCGTCTGTACTGATGACGTGCTGCTGCTCTCGGGAATCAGCCCGAGGGCCCAGGGCTCGGTGCAGAGCTGCTGAGGATCAGGGATCCTTTGCGCAGGAAGCAGGTGCCGAAGGTAGGAGGGGCCCGAGGAGGGAAGGGCCAGAGCCCGGGCCTCTGACTCTGGGTGCTGAGACCGTGGAAGGCACTCGGCAAACGATGGGCGAACGGAGCATGAGGTGGGGCCGAGGCGGATGGACCCGACAGTCTGGGTCACGGAGCCTCCCCCGGCCACCGAGCCTGTGCTTGTGGCTGCCAGGGACATTTTAGTGGCACGCAGTGGTTTTGAGGTTAACTCACCCAAAACGGGAAGAATTATCTTGAAGGGGAGGCGTGGGCCATAGCGGCGTTACGTTTCATATCACAGCACAGTTATGGTGCAGGAGGCGTTGCGTGGGAACACGGTGCTGCTTCCCAGTGTGGACCGTGGGCTTGAGCCTGAGCCAGGCGGAGAGGGGCTGAGGCCACCGGGCGGAGCTCATGGTGTGCCTCCTCTTGAAGGTGATGCTGATCTCTCTCACCGCTGGAGGCGTCGGCCTGAACCTGACCGGAGGAAACCACCTTTTCCTGATGGACATGCACTGGTAATGGAGGTTTTTCTCCAGTGGCCGCAGCACAGCAGGGGGCCGGGGCCGCGCGCTCTTGGCTCCGACGTGCCTGCGCACAACATTACTTTGCTGCAGGTCAGAGCGGTACTGGTCGGCGGCCTGGATTCCCAGCAAGGCAGGCTCGGGATGACTCCTTGAAATAGTCTGCTCACTTTATTGTTAGTCTGACATCTGTTTCCATGGAAACTGAGCAGAGGCTGTTCCTCAGGGCTGAGAGCTGCCTCAGTCAGCTTTGCTTCTTCAACACACCTTATTTCAGACATATATGTTGACACTCAAGGAAATCTGTACCCAAAGAAGCAGGAGACACTGTACTCCATGGGGCAGGCGAAGGAATTGTCCCGTTAGATCAGAGGCACACAGAGCCTGGCTTCCCGCACGCTGGCCCTGGCAGAGGAGCCCGAGTTGGGGTGTGGCTGGGGTGTGGGGGTCGGAAGTAGGGCCGGTATTGGTTTCCCAGGCATGCCCCTCTGGTGCTGGGCTGGGAACTGCCGCCTGTCTGCGTCTCCCGGCGCCCCAGTTGGCGCCAAGAGGCCACGCACTCCTGCCTTCTGGGAGGACGTGTGTAGGTTTTGTTTGGATGCTCTCAGACGGTGAGAGGGGGAAGCGGGGCATTTACACCACTTCAGGATGGAGAAGGGTACCCAGGATTTTAGAGACGAGGGAGTGGTCTGGAGATCAGAGCGAGAGCTGTGAAGAAGGCACAAGTTAAGTCTCCCTGTAGAAACGGAATCCTGAAGTCAAGCACAGCCTTGGAGATCACTGGCTGCCCTCGCAGCTCCCAGTAGCCATCCGGGGTTGGGGGGTGCGGGTGGGGCCTGGCCCCAGGCCCGACCGCTCGTTAGTCCTGGCTTCGAGCACTGTTTCCCCTCTGTCTCTTCCGTTGTCAACCGATGATGGTGCTGAGAGCTCTTCTTAGAGTAATCTGAGCTCAGTCTCTCTTTGGAGGGCAGAAGGTAATCCGGGGCTTTCGGAGTCTCATTCTGACCGAGCCAGTGGCTTTCTGACATTCCGTGTGATTATTTTAGGGGAGAGAGTAAATGTTGCGGGTGCTGTAGGCCACGTAGGTCTCTCACACGCACTTTGTTGTGGGTTGTTTGTTCTTACAACCCTTTCAAAATGGCGGCCCTGCTCGCCCAGCGTCCGATGGGAACAGGCTGCAGGCTGGTTTGCCCTTGGGATTGGTCCACCCCGGGCTAGGACCTCAGTACCTTTCAGCTCCTTTGCGTGTCGTGTACAGGAACCCATCGCTTGAAGACCAGGCTTGTGACCGGATTTACCGGCTGGGGCAGAAGAAAGATGTCTTCATACACAGGTAGGCGTCTCCCGGCTAGGCCCTCCCGAGTCCTGCTTCGCACAGGGCTCTCTCTGGGTGCTGGGGAAGATTGTGAAACGCTGGCAGGGAACACAGACAGTTGGGGGGTGACCCTGGCAGTGCTGCCAATGATGAACACACCCATGTAAATGATGAGCCATTTCTGGTCAGAGCAGCCCATAAAAGGACCCTTATATTACCCTTTATTTTGACTTTCTGTCAGAGAAGATAAGTACTCTTACAAGAATAACGCCAAAAACTCCCCCAGCCGTTTGATGGCAAGAATAATGCCAAATGCTGATTCTCGCGCACTTTCTGAATGTACCAGCTTTTTTCTGAGCCACATGAGAGGAAGCTGCCGGCGTGCTGCACCTCTGCCGACAGCTACTTCAGCACACATTCCTAAGCAGGGGGCCCATGCACGCCGCGGTCGCTGGCCGCAGTTTGCTGGTTTGCTGTGGCGTTATCTGACCTTGGGCCAGTCTCATTTTGCCACTTGCCCCGAGATGTCTTCATGGGGAGAAAAGCCCGGCTCGGTGTGGTGTTTGCTGCCGTGACCCGTCTCCTGTATCTGGAGCGATACCCGGGCCCTGCTGCATGGGGGGGCAGCACTTCTCTGTGAAAAATTGCCTATTGCTGCAAGCCTTCCTGACTGGGAACCCCTTTTGTTTCTTCCTGCTCATGGCCAGCTTTCCTGAAGAATCAGGAGTCAGAGTCTTTCTTGCTTACCGCCCCTTCATTCCTCAACTTTGCAAAGCCATTTTCAGCCTGTTGCTTCACTGAAAGTGCTCTTGTTAAAGAAACACCTGTCAGTTCCAGAATTTGCCAACTACAGTAATTGTGTTTGTTGTCTTTTCCTGTCACTGGCTCTCAACTCCCTCCCGTAATCATCTTTTCTGTGCCAGTAAGTCCACGATCTGTAGCGTCAGCTCTGCTGTCTCCCAAGCCCCAGACCCAGATGTCCTATCTGTTAAATACCAGGCTGCAAGTCACATGCACACCCGTCATTCATTTGTGCACACAGCTCACTGAGCGCCTGACTGAACCTCTGAACACTGAAGGTGGCAAGTGCACATCTCTGTTCCCGGGAGCCGAGATGCCACAGACTGAAATTCTTCCCCCATTTTGTGTCACTCACCCTTGTGAGTGTTCTGTCTTTGTGAGAGGCATCACCATTTGCCTAATCACTGAACCAGAAAACCCTCCCTCTTTCTCATTTTTCACACGTCAGGTTTTCATTTGCTTTCTGAGTGCTTCATGTAAGCATCCCTTCCTCCCTACCCCACTCCCATGTCCCTCGTTATATCTAACCTCCTCAACACGACGTGTACAACCATTCGTGATCTGCCCCATCAGCCACTGCGCTGCCGCTGTTATGCTACAAAATGGTGGAGACCCCTGACTTGTGCCCTGTCCAGACTGGCCGATGTGGCCAGCCTCCAGCAGACCTTGACTTCACACACATTCCCTGGGATGCTGCCCTTGTGCCATCTGGCGAGCCCTGCCTCATCCTGCAGCCCACGCACCATGAGTTGACTTCCTGAGCCTTCTCTGAACGCCCCAGATTTCCTTCTCTATTCCACCTCCCATGTAGGAGTACTGTCGTCACGTATCATCACCTGTGTCTTGTGTTCTTTTGGAGGCGAGGACTGTGTCCTCAGCCCCATACCTAGTGAAGGAGATGGCTCGGGGTGCAGGCTCGGGGTGTATGTGTTGAGTGCCCGAGTGACAGCAATGGTGTTTCATTATTTTGAAAAACCTGTTTTTAGTGTGAATTAGCAACAAAATAGGACATTGCACTGAAGCAAGACAGGAGAGGTCTGCTGCGCCATATGTGGGTCAGCTCCCCGGCTGGCCAGCTGGGGATCAAACTCATGCCACTGTGGCTACAGATTGCCTCCTAGAGCTGCACTTTAACCCCTTGGCCGCCAGGGAGGGCCGTGATGCAGCTTTTTGACTGTGCCTTCTGGGTATCTTTGACAGATTTTGGCTTTTCTCACCTCAGTTCCCAAAAGAAAGTCAGTTTGCACTCCATCATTTTTAACAGATGCACATTTACTTGTACCTTCTACACACTGGTTCTTTACCAAACCTAAAAACAGGAAGATAAAGTCTCATTTAAAAATAAAGCATAAATAGATCTGCTTGCTTTGGGGTTTTGACGATTTGCTTGTCTATTCTTTTAGATTTGTGTGTAAGGGGACAGTGGAAGAGAAGATCCTGGCACTCCAAGAAAAAAAGAAAAACTTGGCCAAGCAGGTTCTGTCAGGGTCTGGAGAATCTGTTACCAAGCTCTCCTTGGATGACTACAGAATCCTTTTCGATATCTGAGCTCCTGTTTGCGGGGCTTAGAGCAGGGAGCGCCATCACTGCTTCCTGCCAGCGCCTCGGAACCACGCAGCCTTCTGAGTGACCCTGTCCATCGCCTGGATTTTAGCCCCAGAAGAATGGGGCACCAGCCGCTGTGCTAACGAACGGGCTAGTCAGTTATGATGGGGACTTGGTCATGATTATCAGGTTGATGACAGTCATATTAAGGAGTGACCTAGAAACCAATACATTACTTTGATACAAGCCACTGCTTCAGCGCAAGGTGATTCTGGAGGAGACTGGGTGCGGTGTCCTTGAACCCCACCGCGGGGGCAGCGCCCCTGACGCAGGTCTGTCCCTGTCTTCATCTCTTGCCAGTGAGGCTGCTCCTGAGCCTCTCCGCTGGGCTGAGCGGAGAGTGGGCCCTCTGGCGTTGCTGCCGGTTGCCTCATCCCAGGGGTTCAGGGCCATGAGGGGCGCGGTGTTTACACTGTGGTCGTAGCGCTGAGCAGCACTGGTCTGTGTAGTGTTCGGATCGCTGTATCGTTTGGCGCACACACCTGAGTGCCAGGTAGGTGGTAGCTGTGCACGTCATTTAATACCACCTGATATTAACAGCAGTCCCTGCTCCCCTGAGGCTGACGGTCTAGAGGGGAGACAGGTGGCAGTGGTGGGGAGGCCACCAGGTGAGGAAGACTGGGGGTGAAGGGACTGAGGTCGGTGTGTGGGCCTGGCCACGGCGACGCCCAAGGCGCTTCCTGCAGTCTGACATAAGCAGTGCTCAGTTCCCCCCGCTGCCTCTTCGCGGGGACTCCCCCAGGTCTCCACCCACGGAGACGCCTCTCTCGCGTCCCTGGGAGAGCTGGGCCCGGCGGGTGTCAGCGCCGTTTGTCATCCCTGGCCGCGCTGTTTGTGCCGTTTCCTCCAGAGGACGGAGGCTCCCACTGGCGGCCCGTGTCCGTTCCTGTTACACCAGAGGCGGCGTGGCTCATCACAGCGCAGCGTCCTGGCGCCGCCCCGGGCTGCCACGCGAGGGTGGTTTCTGGATCTGGAGCACTTCGTTACCGTGGGGACAATCTCTAAGTCCACGAACTTCTTAACCTTACCCTGGAGTCTTGGGCTCTGCAGATCACTCACTTGCCAGGCTTTTCAGCAGGCGGGGTCAGCAAACTGGAGCAAACTGGGTTTAGACTCCGCGGTAGCACCGGCCGAGGGAGAGCCGTGCCCCTCCCCACACTAGCTCTTGGTATTGGTGACGGGCCTGTTGCCATTTAAGCAGCTGTGGCATTGCCTGTGCTGGAACCTGGATGTCGTGTGGAAACGTTCTGTTTCAACATAGTTAGCTATGGCAACACTATCCAATTCCTGAAACCGGAGCCACTAAAGTGATGCACTCTTCATCTTTGGTTCTGAAATCGGATCCATCACACACAGGGCGGGGAAGGCAGGTGACGTGATACAAGCTGCTGCACAGCAAGCAGTTCCCTGGGGGTCTGAGGTAACTGGAAAACGCAGGTCCCTGAGGTGCGTGTATTTTATCCAACGTGTATGCAAGAAGCCCAAGATGGTTTTCCTAAGTGGATTTCATTAAATGCACCTTGAGAAAGGGATTCTCGCATGTAGAAACAGGTAGCAAGGAACTACAAAGTAAATCTACCAACCCGTTTGACAGAGTATTGATGGAGCCTCTCCTATGCGCCGGAGTAGCCCTTCCAGGGAGACTGGAGTAGTGCCAGCCCCCTGCCTGCACAGAGCTGGCCATCGGGAGCCCAGGACACGCAGGGAGCAGGCTGAGGTGTGTTAGGTGGTGGTGGAGTCCTGTGTTGCATCTTTAAGGCTTATTTATGTGTAGAAGAACTAGGGTGCAGGCCAGAGGTGCAAAGGAGAGAGGATGCATCAGACAGAGCGGGCGGGGGGCAGAACAGGCACCTACTCAAGCGCACTGCTGAGGGGAGCAGCGGGGAGATAGGCGAGGTCTGCGGCGCCCTGGGGGTCCCTCCCTGGGGGGGGATCAAACTCAGGCCACAGCAGAGGTAGCCCTGAGACTTAACCCCTCGGCCGCCAGGGAGGCCTGGGAGTTCTCTCTCGGACACGTAGAGGGACCGTGGGACAGGACGCTCGGACAGGTGCAGAAGGGGGAGTGGTTTCGGGGGTTTCCCGTGAGGGAGCACTCCAGACGGAGCGACAGTGACTAAAGGTGCCAAGACAGAGTGCTGGAGAGTGAGGAGCCCTAGGCGGACTCCTCTGGGGGAAGGGCAGCGCTGGAGGCCGGTGGGGAGGACCGAGGCCAAGCGGGGCCTGGCACGCTCCCCTAAGACCGCGCTGCTGAGAGGACGGGGCGCCGTGCGGGAGAGTGGCGGTGCACGGAAGACCGGGGCTGAGTCGCAGCCGCGCCCTCTCGCGGGCGCGTCCAGGGAGCGGAGCCCGCTCCGGCCTGTGCGGCAGGGGGCGCTTTGTAGTGGCAGGGCGGCGCCGAAGGGCCCGCTCGCCTGGCACGAGCAGGTGTCCGGGGCTCTACTGCAGCACCGCCGCTTCTCACGGCTTGACCGGCGTGACCTTGCAGGCTCTGGGGCCAGGAGGTGAACCAGGCGGTGAACACGGTGTCGGGGCGGGGGACAGACATCCACCCAGCCGTCAGGGTGACGCCCAGTCAGTAGTGCTGAAGGTCTTGTTCTCTCGGGAGGGGCCGCACAGCAGGCAGCTCTGGGAGAGCTCAGTCAGACTGCCGCCTCCACCGTCGCGGAGGCCTGGCCGGGCAGGGCAGAGCCTGGCGCCCCCGCTGCCAGAGAGGTGGGTGGCTGCCCGGCCACCGCCTCTGCGATCGGCCAGTGACGCACAAAGATGCACTTGCCCTCGGGCGCAGACGATAGGCACTTTGCTGTAATTCTCTCAGTCTCTTCTGGGTCGGCCGGGCCGGGGGTCCGCTGGTGGGCTGGCGCCCCCGGCTGCGGTGTCACGGGGCCGGGCGACGTCACAGGGCCACGGTCCTGAGCAGACTCCTCGGGGCGCCCTGCCCTCCGGTCCACGTGCACTCCGACTTCTCGGCAAACTGCCCGCAGCATGACCAGTGGGGACGACCCGGGTGGCCTCTGTGTCCGTGGCCACAGCCGAGGTACCCGCCTGCATGGCACAAGTGGAGAGAGAGCACCACCATTAGAGGGTGTCCAGCGGTCACCATGGAGTGAGCACTGCTGCCAGCATGCGCTGCGGGGGGAGAAACGGCTGACAGGCCCGCGGGAGGGGGCGGTCTGACGCCCCCAGGATGGGATGGCAGCCAGCTCGGTGAGCGGAAGCACCGAGAAGAGTCATTTAATGCGGTTGGCTCCAGGGGACAAAGCGGTCTGGGGATAACTACACATTGAAATAGACGCGGAGGGTAGCGTGGCCGAAAAAACAAGGTAGGTAGGTCTGAAGAGCTCCACAGGAGGACGGAGCCCGTCTGAAGGGCGCCCGGGAGTAAACAGTATTTCAGAGTCACGCGACCCCTTGCCTGGCCTGATCCCTCCTGCACCTGCAGGAGAGAGGCCAGGGCAGCTCACCGCTCCCACCCGCTGCCCTGCCTGGCCCGGTTAGCCCGGCGGGTCTCAGTGCCCCCGTGCCCAGGTAGCTGGAGAGGGCGGTCTGGAGCCAGGCACGCCGGAGGCCTCAGGGCTCATCGGACCGGTGAGCCGCAGCAAAGCTAAAGAGCCCAGGACTTTGAAGCTTCCGTTCTACTTTTTGGGACAAAGCAGCTTTCCGCGAGCTCAGAGCTGTGGCGTAGCTACGTGCACGGCTCTGCCTCCTGAAGTCGGGTCTCGACCCGCTCGCCTTGCGGGCAGGGGCACGGTGGCCGCTGCCGAGCCGCAGGCCCACCTGGCATGGTGCCGCCACAGGCGCAGCGAGCGGTCTTCTGGCCCCCGCTGGAGCAGAACGTGCAGCAGTGAAACACGCCGGGGTGTGGACGGTGCCTCTTCTTCACGGTCACGGTGAAGGGCGAGCCCTGTGTCCGGAGCAGAGGACAGCGCGTGAGCCGCCAGGCGGGCGGGGCGGCGCCAGGGCTAAGCAGCGTCAGCCATGAGGGTCCTGGCCCGGAGTGCCGGGACGGCAGAGAGCAGCAGGCTGGCGGGTGCGAAGGCGGAGGGGCCC